AATTTCCATATTGATCTTGTGCCAAAGTGTACACAGACTGCATAATTTCATCCATAATAATTTGCTGTGTATTCATGTCCTTACAATGCTCCAGGACCCTCTATTTTGTGCCAGATCAAAAAATTGACAAGTCAATAATGATCATATATTTACATCAAAGAAGTGCATACAGAGTAATTCCTGACCTGAATGACACGGCAACCATAAGGATGGGTGGATAGGGCCAAAACTTGCCCATAGAAAGCTGAGATGATGAACTTAATTCGATCTTCCGGGACACACTCTATACACTTCTGAATAACATGATTGCCATTCTGATCACGAATGCATTTAATGACAGAGCCGTCAAGCTCTACCACCATTTGAGTCTGTCGATCCACATCAATCATCTCCAAAGCCTGTGGTCAGATTTAGCACACTAAGTATATTGAATAGCCAGAATAAACAAAAAGGGCAATGATCTTGCTCTTAAGGTAATAGGCTACAATTCATGAACTGATCAAACAATTCTTCTTCTTTCCTTTGTGGTGGATGCATTCAAGAGTACTAAATCATAATTTTTGAATCATGCATTTAAGGAGTTCCCTGGCATTACACCAAGCCACATCACAGTGATAAATCAAAAGGTCGAGGAACTGGATAGTGCTCAGCAAAGTAAGCATCACCAACAACAATATTCACATGGAAAGTATGGATGCTTCAAGCAGATAGGGATGTCAAGTAAAAATCTCAAAGGCACGTGCTGAGAACAAACATGCAAGAGTGTGTGCACATGATGCATGTATGACAGCAAAGGCATAGAAAAGTACCTTCTGGATTACTCTGCATCCATACATTTGAAGACTGAGAGGTAAAACATGACCAGTAAGTCGACTGACTAACTCCAATCTTTGACTTTCTGTACCATGATCAAGAAACTGTGCATTCAAGAATAACAAAATATTAACAAATCATACATAAGAAATAGAATTATAAAGGATATATCGGCAGTTAGAATTTCAAATAAAAACAATATGTACCTTTTGTATGACATAATTTCCAAACACATCGGTCATCAAGGTAAGAGCATGAGGTATAATCTCAGGGAATATCTTGTTCTTCTCGTCAACTGAAGCAGTTTCTAGTTTCTGCTGAATAAACCGACTTCCATATTGATCCGTGCTGCATTGCATAAGAGATGTTAAACTCAGCACTCCCAGTACTCCCAATACTACATGAATGAAACAAACACCTAAGCAATAATTCAATATATACCTGAATTCAACAACCTGACCAGCAATGTCTGAAAGTTCAAAAGAACCGTTCTTGCTTTTCTTAAATCCTTCTATTGAGGATGATGAGGGTCTTCTTTCTGCAATGCAGCCAATATCAGACTGCCATGACCCAATGGATCCTCCTATCGAATTCCTCATCGTAGAAGCTAAGTGTGCAGCTCGCTCGCTCTGAAAACTTCCAGATCCAACAGAAGGAAACGTAGATTTCGCCACTAAGTTCTCTGGATATGGCATGCTAAGACCATATGATGAATTCCTATGGTATCCCTGATTCAAACCACCAGATTTGGTTAGAAGTGGCAACTCATATTGTTGCTTCTGTTCAACAAGCAATGTCTCAAGGTAAGCTTTCTGAATCCTGTCCAAGTCCCCATCTGAAGTGCCAAAATAGTTTCTAACTGGAGGATCACTAGATGTTGCTACAGGACACGTTGCATAATCTGAAATTCTTTGCAAGTACTGAGGATAACATGGGTCTAGAGACCCCACTTGATTTCCCAGTCTATTAAAACCATGCCCAATTCCATGACCACCTATAGCAAAAACAAAATTTCAAACCAGCAAGAAATGTATCTACTATCCATGTGTATATTGTACATATAAATTCCATGAAAGCTTCGAAAGAAGCAAAGATAACCTGTATCAAGATGATTCTTGATCACCGAATTCAATTTTTGAGTTGAATAATCATCAGGTACACGGCCAGTGAAATCCACAATTGGAACATTTGCATTTTGAATATGAACATGTGATCTTTCCAAACATCCAAGGCCCGAGGAATTCATTTTTGAGTGAAGATTGGAAGAAGAATTTCTTCTAGAAATACTAACTTCCCCGTTAGAAGTTATCTTACGAGTATTACTGTTTGGTATGATCCCATTGTTTCTTGGCATATCGGTATAGCTGGTCGAAAATGAGAGATTTTCTACCTTGGACTTTTCTCTGAGTTGTTGCTGCAGAGTCTGGTCACCACTACTGGGCACATTAAAAGGAAAATCTGGCTCATTTTCCATATCCATTTGCAGTTGACATCGTACATGACTCTCTTGATCTGTGAGTCTAGTGTGCAAAAGGCTTAACCCAGACAACGAGTTGGCAATTTCACCAAGCTCAGTAATGCCCGAGGAATGATCATTTTGGAAACTCATGCCAACAACATTCTTCTTCTCAATAGGACCAACTCTGCTGCCAACATGACGTAGATTTGAAATAGCAGACATCCCACCCAGCTGCTGTTCAGGTGTTGTACTCCTAGACAATGATGAACCCACAGCAGATACCATAGAGTGAGACAAGGTATCAATGCGGCTTTGATTTCCAGTAAAGCTAGTGGTAGCTGCTCCTGAATGCAGGCCTTCAAGGGATTCCATTCCATAGAGTAACCCAGCTTGATGAGGATCACACACACCATTTGCATCCAGAAGATCACCAAAGGCATTATGACTTGCTGGGGATGATAGGTGACCTGGTATGGAAGTGGACTGATCAAGTCCTTCCTGAACAATGTAAGAACACCGTTTGTCAACTGTAGAAAACGAGCGAAATGAAATGAAAAGAGATAACAGAATGTATCACCTAGCGTTTGCTGGTGTACATGTCAGTTGAATCCAATTAAATTGGTTGAATAACAATGGGCAACACTAAAACTGCTTTTCGAGTATAAGGAACATAAAAAAGAAGATGGTTTCTATGAAAAGAACTTCAAGTCTTTTGTTTTAGAATGTCATCTCCGCATTGTGTCTTTAAAAATAGAGAAAAACGAAATATCGCATGAAAAGTCATTGTCCATCAAGTCCCTCCTCTTGATAAAAAAATTTGTTACTTAATCAATGCTAAACTTTAAAATCGATCAATCGATCAATAGTCAGATTTGACACTTCTCTAAAGTACCAATGGTTGCTTAATCAATGATAATAAAAATTGTTTCTAGATTAAATTCGCTTCATTCATAGTCTTCAACTATAAAAGTTGCATCTAGCACAAAGATGCTGTCCTTATAGCCAAAACAGACTTCAATAGTTTCCTTAATAAAAAGAAAAAACCCCTTCAGCATGATTTCTTGGACAAATGGCTGAACCAAATATGAAATCGCAAAATGTTCAGCTACCAATTCTTATAGTATTATTAAACAGTTGACAAGCTAATTCTTGTATAAGCTCAAATTTTCAAATTACTAAATCCACTACCTGAAGAATGTCAGCAAAACTTTTCCTCCTCGGACCAAGCATGGAGCCCTGCAATTTATGACCATGTGAAATTCTATCAAGCCACTCGGCCGAAGCATTCCTAGTGAGATAAGTTGTATCTGAATTCCTCAATTCTGTCAAATCATTGTCGACCTTATGCACTGAAAGTCCCGGCTGCATTGAAAACAGCGAAGAACGATCACTATCATCAACCACCTTATTATTCCTCGAGTCCCCAGTACCTCCAAATGAAGATCCAGAAGACTGAAACCTTTGTACAACACGCCAATCCTCCTTGGACAACAAGGGTGGGGGCAATCTTGGATTAATATTATCATGAGAATAGTAATACAAAAGATAAGATGGGTGCGAGCGGATCTCATCTTCAGCCAAAACCACATTGTTACTAACACTGTTGACGTCACTCAAGTTATAGTTCCTAAAAAGGCTTCCCACGGCACTTAATGATCCTTCAACAGTGGGTGGAGCACTACCACTCCTATATATATCAAGATCCCTTTCTATGCGTTGATTACATCGCTGTGATTGTAGAATCAATCCCAGTTCGCTCTGAAGATTACCTTCTGGGTTAGAAGAGAGCCCCCCTCGTGGATAATCATCTACTGTATGTGGCTTGTTTATATTGCCGCCCCCAGTGACCATCTCTCAAAGAAACTGAAAATCAGCAGAATACAATAAATAACCAAATAAAAAATAAATAAATCCAAATTTCCACAATAATTCTATGTTTAATTGCCAAATTTTTTTTACAAAATTCATTTAAACAAAGAAGGGTCAAGCCTGGTGAAATTAAAAATCCAAACTTTAACACTAATTCTCAGTTTGGTCGAAAATTTACGAAATTCATTTTAAGCCAAAAGGGGTCAATACAATGTCACATCTAGCAAAATCAGAATTTCTGAAACTTAAGATTTTACGAAAAGAAATAAACATAGTATGTTTAGTATTTTTCAAACAAAAGTAAAATTAACAATACAAAAACAATAAAATACTACTTTATTGCAGGAACATGACCAGACATGTAAGAAAATAATACCCACGTAAAAAGAAAAAAATAAAATCAAGGCCCATTACCTATATCACATAAGAAAAAAATCAAAGCATTAATTAAAAAAATGAACTTTAATCAAAGCATTTACGTATGTTAAATCAATGAACTTTAATCAAAGCATTTACGTATGTAAAATCAAGACAGAAGAAGCTCATAAAATTTATTCCTTTTCTTTAGCGTTCTTTCTCAGCAACCAAAAAGAGCTTTGAAAAATTAAAATCAAACAACAAAATCATAAATTGCATCATGATTAAATACCTTCACAATGAATCTCCACATCAACGGAAAAAACTGGAACCTAGAAAAAATAAATAAAAAATCAACGATAAAATACACGAATGTAACTTTTTTAAAAAGAATCTAAAACAGACATGAATAAAAAACGAAACTTGGGAGGGAAAGAGGTTACGAGCCAAACGATGTCGTATCAAGAATTCATAAAAGCTTCGTGATCAACAACAGGTAATTAAAAAATGTGACACAAAAGAAAATAGGTGGGGATTTACAGAGGGAGCGAGAGCATGGAGAGATGAGATTCTTTCGAAACGGTCACTTGTTTTGTTTCAATTCTTTAATTTTTTTTTATTTTTTTTTATTATTATTATACTATAGAGCGAAAAAGAGAGGGGATTCTGAGGACCGTTGATCGATCATGGACGTGTTGAGCTGTGATCATGGATATGCTACCATGTCAACAAACTTGCCAGCATATATATACACACATACACAGAGTCTCGACATCTCCTGTTTTATTTATTTTTATGCTTTAAAAATATTTTTAAAAAAAATTTAATTTTTCAATCTATTTTGAATTAATGTTTTTTAATATTTTTAAATTATTTTATACATTAATATTAAAAATAATTTTTAAAAAATAAAAAATATTATTTTAATATATTTTTAAATAAAAAATATTTCCAAAAACAACAATAACCATATTTTTGAAGCAAACTCAAATTAAATTAAATTAAACATGCTAAAACGTCAGTCTACCACTTTAGCTTCGCCGGCCAGGTGTTTTTTTTTTTTTAGCTATCCTGTATTTCTAATTTTTTTAATTTCAACCCTTAATGTTCCGAAGAATTTGACAAATTTTTGTTAAGAATGGAAAAAATTTAAAAAAACTACAGTATAACCATAAAAAATTAAATATTATTCAATTTTTTTCAATTTAAATGTTTTATTTTGGTTACTAATTTATAGATTCAGTAGTATTTTTTAAAGTATTTTGGATTTTTTGTTATTTTAAATTTATTCTCTATCTCAGGTGAAAAACAATTTTTAATAAAAAAATTATTAAATTCAATATAGTTTATTATCACAAGGCCACTTGAAAACTACAAAGTCTCACGTCAATTAATCCTTTTTATGAATATTCTGTGTGAGGTCACATCATTGATGGAATTGATAAAGACCCACCTTATTTTTTGTTTTTTGTTTTTTTTTTACGAGACCTCGTAGTTCTTGTCCTTGACAATACTTAGGTTGCATTCGAATCTAGATAATAAGATTAAAAAAAAAAAAAGACCATACAAGTAAAAAATATATTTAGTTTTAGATTTAAAATAAATATGTTTGTTTGATAATTTTTTAGTAAATTGTTATAGTAAATATCAGATAAAAATAAATTCATCTCTATCTTCACCGTTAAATACTTACTTTAACCTATGCAGCATTACTTAATAAAAAACCAAAATCCAAAATATATAGGTAACTTTAACTATGATCCAAGACCTCCACTTTAAAAAAAATCAAGAATAATTAAAATATATTTATTAATTATAATTTATAAAATGAAAATTAACTTCACTTAAAAAACAAAACCTCAAATACAAAAGAAAAATTATTTAAAACCCTGTTAGTTAAACATAAATTAAAAATATATATTTTTAAATATTTTATAAATTATTTAACCCGGGCTCTCAGTAATATGAAACAAAGCCATGCGCTCTGACTAAACTCAAACTAGGGCGCATTATCCCATTGTTGCAAACAGCTCGTGCATGCCAACAAGGTGAAATTAACCTTGTATTTCCTTCAAACTCACAAAAGCATCACAAAATTAACTGTAGTGGCTTTGAAACAAAACGCCCCTCTGGGCAATTCATCACAAAATAGAGGAGAACAGCAATACCTGGAGTCGGCAGTGTAACGAGTTCATAAAAAAAAAAAAATTATTATCGTATATTCCTCTGAATTTATCTTTCTTTTTGCCGCATATGAGGTTATTTATACATAGCTGAAATCAGCAAACATATGGGCCAATCTTCTTTTCTCTATGCAATGTTTATAATTGATACCATAATTCACAAGGTACCTCATTTTCAATCATTTCACGAACTTCATTAATGACCAAATATGCTTTGTGACCGGCAATCACTTCTGCCTGTCTCTTGCTATCCTTCCATAACTGTTTAGCAAAGAGAAACAGCTTTAGGAAGGGAAGTGAAGAAGGAAAACATTGAATCTAGAAAACATACAATCAAAATAATTTGCCTGAATAGTTGGCATTTTCTGCACAGATTTTGCAGTCCACAGCACAAAAATACATTAAAAAAATGGATCAATTAAGTGTTAATCACAAGTGCACGGATACATGTTTTGCTGAAGCAAGCAGAAAGTGTGGGATTAAGGAAGCTTCTATATGCCTGTGCACGTTTAAAGTTTGTGAATGGAATAGCCAGGTGTGGGATTTATGACTACATAAAACCAGAAGAGCGTGATCCCAACCATTCAATTATTCATCAACTAGTTGTTGGAAAAACTAAGAATAACCAGACATAAATTTAACAGGATTAATTCAGTAGAATATAATTTATAATTTATAATTTTCAATTCTTTTCCTCTTTATGCAGTAAAATAAAATTAAACAATGATAAAAAAATAATGCAAATAATCACAAAATCAACACCAAGATTTTTAACGTGAAAAACCTAATGTGGAAAAAACCACGAGACCGTAGTCCACCTAGAAACTTTCATTATCAACAAATAATGGGTTCACAATCATTCTTCTTCAGATTCAACTAAGGGATACAACATATATATCATCAAGAACAATTTATTCTCGAATTACAACAAGATTAAAGGAGAATTACTGAGAATAACTCACAATACTGACAGCCTCGTTTTCTATCAAAACGGACAGCTTCCACACCACCAATCTTCGATCCAACCGTTCAGAATGAAGATCAACGTGTCTAGAAGCTGCTGTCAAAATCTCAGCCCGATCCAACGGTGAACGAGCTGGAAATCAAAGAAAGAATGAAGGCTGCTCTGCTGCCTTTTCTTCTCTTTTTCTCTCTTGATTTTCTTCTCCTCTCTTCTCTTTTCAAATCTGTTGCTACAGTACCCGAACCACACTAATATTAACACCAAGAGACAACCATCACATGACATTTAATGTGATGGTCCCACCAAATTAATATAGTGGCTCCACTATCATATGGTGTGGAACCACACACAACATTAGTTAATGTTTGTGGTTATGCAGAACCTGAGAACAAACAATTCCAACCCCTCAAAGTAAACTTAAACTAAATTTTCATACTTCCTCCGTCTCAACATCTACCCCCTTTCCCTAATTGATTTCATATCTCATTCTATCTGGGCAAGAAAAACATTTAACTGCTTAGTTGCAACATAATTTTAATTGTCCAGACTGTTCAATATAGAATTAGAAACAAGGAAAATTGCAGAAAATATAAACCATGTGTAACTATGAGACTTACAGTAACCCCTGCACGAGCAACAAGCTTGTGTGGGGTGTTATTAACATTGACACAGCAAAACCGCAATCTGCATTGGTGAAGAAAGTTCTCGATAATTATATTGGCAAGCAAAAGGATCAATTGTCAAATCATGCTTGGATTTATGGACATTCATTTAGGCATTGAATGGATTCCGGATTCATGAATGACATGGAGTTCAATCTTTAAAGATCCCAGGAAACTCAAATCAAGAGGCATCCAGGACAGCTGCGAAACATTAAATATAAGGATGCAACCTTCCAAAGTACCAATGCTAAATGCTTTTCTCATCCCCCAATTCTGCTTCAAAAAATGCCCTGGGAAATGAAGGGTGGGTATAACTTTATTAAAGACTGCATTTCCTCATTTGTTGAGCATCTTCAGTGAGTACCCCTAAATAATGCTAACACTAATTCATTTGATGCCTCCAGGCTATTAAAACGGGATTGGTTGGTGGAAATAGAGGGATTAAAACTAGGCATCTGATTTTAGTTAAGGAAGAGCTGCATTTATAATCGGTAGAAACTAAAATCAACTGCGGATTTCAAATCTTTTAAACTATTTTCCATTAATTTGGCATGCATATCAAATGAGAAATCGAACAGTAAATGCATGGTAAATAAGCCTCTAGAACAAATTTTCAATGTTTCCAATGGGCGATTCCCTTCTAATTTAGCCATGGACGATCATAAAGTAGAATAGAGCAAACCTTCTATTGTAATCAGCTGCCACCTTTTCCACTTTTGGTTTCAAATATATACATTTTCTGCACCAGTAATAAGACCATATAAACCCACTGTCATGCAGTAAATTATCCTAGATAAGCAAGGATTGTTTCTTAAATTTCAACTAAAAACAGCACAAAACCCTCAAAGATCTAAAGCATGCATTCCCATTCGCCAAAGTTTCTCTTTAACCAAATCAACTTGGTTCTGAAATCTACCAAATGAAACCAAAATCTTACCAGTTGGAACAAAAGCATTAAGAATAAAGATACCTTAATGACAATTTAGAAGACTAAAAAAATCTAAACTTGGTCCTTTTCTCAAACTTTTTCACTAATATAAAATTGACCCAGATGCAGAAATGGGATTGACTAAAAAAAAATCTCACCAATTCAAACAAAACCCAAAAAACAAACTAACACCACACACCAAACAATGATAACAAATTTCACAAGCTGCTCTACCTCTGATATCACACGATGAAACTGGCTCTCACCAAAGGTGGAGGCAAGTATGGGCTTGAATGAGCTTTAGATCAAGATTTTATTAATATTTTTTGAATTAGTTTTATATAAAAAAAAATTATAATTTTTAATTGAAATATCAAAAAATTCTAAAAATTTACAAAAAGCTTTCTAATATGATATTTTAGTTTGAGTTAAAATTTCATATTTTTTAGAGAAATTCAGAAATTTGATAAAAAATCACAATTTAACCAGTTTTATATTATTTGGTGTAATTTTCAACCTGACCATCAGATTAAGATGAAATTTTACGATGGATCTTAAAATATATTGAATTAAATTTAATGTAAATTTTAGAATTAACAGAGTTTGATAATGCTAACAAAAAACCGTCAAATAAAAGCAACCTGACTCATTAAGGGTAAAATTATTATTTTTCATTGAAAAATAAAACAAATCAGTTTTTTCTTTCTTTCATGTATTGCTGACCGGACAAAAGTAGAATAGAAAAGGAAGAAAAACAAAAGAGAGAAAAATTAGGAAAAAACATTAAAAAATCCAAATAAAAAAAATAAAAATAGTACGAGAATAACCTTGTAAACTTACAAAATTCAACTTATAAAATACTCATATAAGAAAGAATTAAGTGAAGGAAGAAGAAATTAAGAGGGAGAGAAAAATTAATTACTTTGTTTTTCAGTTAACATACAATTTTTATTTTATCCCTGTTAAGAAATTATTACAATATCAATTCAGATTCAATTATAAATGAATTATATTTTATAAAATATTAAAAAATATAATTTCAATAATAAATTTATTTTTATTTTTATTTTAATTTTATATACTTTCAAATATATTTTTTTAATATTTTAAATAATATATTTGAATTTAAATTTTATTATTAACTTAAAAAACTTATTTACATGAGTTAATAATTTATTTTAAAAAAATTTATATATTTATTTAATAGTGCAGGCAGGAAAATTTTCTAGCTCCGCCTTTCCCTTTCACTGTAAATGGACTCCAACTCAAACGATACAGGAGAATCATCCACCTCTCGCAGAGACCCCTCTTGGCTCCAAGCATGAAAGATTCCATTTCCCCCTTAAAACCTATGAATTTTCCCGGGAAGAATGAATTTTCCAGGAGAAAGTTTCATAGAGATCAAAATTGAGGGGTTTTGACAAAGGAATGCTTAATATTGACAAGTCACGTGGGATCGAATTTGAAGACAACAGTCTGAGGGATGGTGGGTTCTGTAAGATCTTAGACATGTTTGAAGAGGGAAACACCAGTAAAAATTTGCAGAAGAAACTCTAGAAATCAATATAAAGAGACAAGCGATATGTATGCTGTCCTGTCATTCATGCCTACCACGGGATATTAGTTTTGTCCAATTATAAGGAAAGTTCAAGAGTTTTTGTTTTTAGCACTTAAAAAATGGAAAGAAAAACAAACAAAGAATATTTTAAAAAATAATACAGCGTAGAGAAAGTCGAAAGCCGCAACTCACGAGTGTCATTTATTGTTCTTTCTAAAATTAAAAATAAACTGATATAGTTTATAATAAAAAAAAGATATAAACATATCAAAATTTTAATAACAATATTACCACTATCATTAAAAATATCAATAAAATAAATCAAATAATATCTAATAAAATTAGAAATAATAACTCAAATGAGTTACATGAATCATTTAGATATATAGAGATTTATTTATCTTTAAATGACTTGTATGATATACTCCAGCTAATTATTATTTTTAATGTTATTTAATTTATTTTATTAAGATTTTTTTAATGATATCAATAATATTATTATTGGAATTTTAGTATAATTATAGAATCTTTAATTAAATAGAAAAGGAAAGTAAAAGATATAAACAATAAATATGGAAACAAATCTGATACTTCATGTATATGAAAAAATATCCATATAGATGCATGGAATTTAGGACGTTACATGTGTATAAATACCAATCGTAATTCCACTACATCATAAAAAAACACAACACTAGAATTTTATAAGAAGCACAGCACTGCTACTGCTACTGCTACCAAAAGAGAAAATTAAGAATGGAGAAATCTTCTTTCAAGTTAGCACTCGTGATTGTTTTGGTATTTTCTACAACTTGTAAGTCTCTCTTCTTATTTTATTTTTTTCTGCGAGTTTATTGTATAATTCACTCTTATTTTTGTTTAGAAATATGGTTATAATTATTTTTTAAATAATTTTTCATACTAAAATATATATTAATAATTTTTTTATTTTTTAAAAATTATTTTTAATATTAGCATATAAGTAATTTAAAACATTAAAAATATATTAATTTGAAATAAATAAAAAATAAATAAAAATATTTAAAAATATTTTTAAAATACAAAAACAAATAAACCTAATAATTATAAAAAATTGTGATATTTGTTGATCTCGTTCATATAAATCAAAACTATTGAGTTCTTTTTTTTTAATACCAATGACTGTGGTGTTAAAATCGAAGCATTGTAAAATAATTAAAAAAATAATTAAAGTATTATATATTATTAGATATTGGCCGCGTGTGCACTGCTATAGAAAATTTTTTGGAATATTTTTTTATTTAATTATAAGATAATAGATACTTAAAAAAAACAACAAATAGAATAATAAGAGAGAAATTTTATTTTTTTTCAAAATTGTTTTTTTCTAATTCACACACACATATTTGTTTTGATAACAAAATAGTTTTTTTTATCAGCATCATTGTTCATTGAATAAAAACTATGAAAACACACATATTTGTTCTGATAACAAAATAATTTTTTTATCAGCATCATTGTTCATTGAATAAAAACTATAAAAAGTATAAAAGATAATTTTTTATGTAATTTAAAGTAATAACATAATCACTCAAATATTATTTTAACAAAGTGATTTTTTTTCATAAATAAAAAATATTAAGAGAATATCTATAAAAAGACAAGACATATCTAGAAGTCGGAGTATAATTTTTAAATCCAACCCAGTCAAAGACCTGAGTTTTGGATTTTTATTGAGTTGCTGGGATCAATTTTTTTTTAAAAAAAAATCAAAATAATGTTATTTTGATAAAAAAAAATAAAAGTTAATAGGTTAAAACCGTGTTTTTGACCTGGTCACCCCTAGTTTTATCTTTTTCTATTTTTTTCAATCCGATCAAATCCCAATCCCAGGTCGTCTGGGTCAACCATCTAGGTTTGGACTGGATTTCAAAACTATAAGTCAAACACCATGGTTAAAAAGTAAAAAAGAGTTCTAGTTTGGTGTTTCTTTCTCTCTCACACGCGCTTGCATGCATGAGTGTGTTTCTTAATTTTTTTTTTTTATAATCAAATATATAAAAGGATGTTTGTAGCATTTTGAATTTTAACATAAGATCGTGTTTAGGAATGTGGTACAAATCATTTTTTAAAAAAAAAAATTGTTAAATTGTTTTTAAATATTTTTATATTGTTTTAATATATTGATATTAAAAATAATTTTTAAAAATAAAATAATTTTATTTTAATATGTTTCTAAACCAAAAATATTTTAAACAGTTGTTGCAATCTCGAACAAAACCGTAATCTCAAAGCCAAGCATGATCCCAAGTTCGTTTAAGGATAGTCTTCGAACAAAAACCAAAAAACAGAAAGATTTTTATTTCATATTAATGTATTAATATTTTTTAATATTTCAAGCACTTCCATCGAATGCTGGAGTGATTGCTCATGATTGAAAAAACAAAAATGTTTTGCAGATTTTCTACCTGGATCAACTCAAGCCACAGAAACCACAAGGGATCAGATGGTGCATCAAGAGTCTTCATCAAAAATATTGATCAGGACATGCACGAACGACGCCGTGTGCATACCTTTTTGTCCTAAATCTTGCAAACGTGTTTACTGTGATAAACAACCCTATCCATATCAAAGCAGGTGCTTTTGCCAGAAGAGTGGATTTTCTCTCAAGAGTATACTGATATCGATGCCCTGTGTTCAGGGAGTTTTCTCTAATGGCGGTGCCTAGAGGGCTGTATCAAAATAAAATATTATAATGCAATAATATTTGACGATGTATCTCTCATACCAAATAACAGTACACATAATGGCATATGCTTGCAGTTTTTTTTTTGTTTGTTTGTTTGTTTTTGTGTTTTTTTTTTTAAAGCTGAAATTTATTTATTCATTTTAAATTGATATTTTATGATATTTTTAAATTATTTTAATATTAAAAAATACTCTAAAATTATTTTATGATATTTTTTTTAATCGTAGAAACATATCATGTGATGTTATTAGCCTTTATCGTTAAATTTGATTTAAAAGATGTAAATTGGGTGCAAGGACGGAGTGTACCCGCCAATGCATATATATAATTCCTAATTTATCTTATTAGATACACATATCAACCTTTTAATTTCTAATTAAAAACGACACTTACATCGTGTCTTGCTTCGAAAAAAAGCATTTCTCCATTGCATGCTTGCAATCGAACTAGTAGTCAACTAAAACAACTGGGTAAGGAGAACATTATCTATAAAGAAACAACATATAGGGCAAAATCAGAATATTTATGGACCAAGATGAAAAATATCCTTAAATGTTGGGCTTAAAGTAAGTTCTTACAAGACATATATGATAATAAAAATGTTAATTGCAAGTCTGGGATAAATATATTACTTTTTTGGTAAAAGAGGTTGAATATTTGCTTGATTGGTTTTAAATTGAATTTTCAAAGTTTTAATTGATTTAATAAAAATAAAATTTTATTTTATTTTATAAAACCAAGAATTAACGCTGAAACTTTCATGACAATGTAAGAAGCATGGATGAAGCCAACTAAAATAAAATATTAAATCCAATAATAAGTAAACCTAATATTAACATATCAAATTGAAAAAAAAAAGTCAAATAGAAAAAAAAAGAAAAAAAACACCATGAATAACTATTGTAGTTCATAATAAATTAATCTTGTAAAACCAAACAACAATTATTGCTAAAAATAGCATTAAGAAAATATAAACTAAATTTGCTAGAAAAAAATAAAGTCAAATGTAGAAATTACAGAGAGAGGAGAGAGAGAAAAAAAAGAAAAAAAATATCATAACTATATCAAAAGACCTTTATTTTCATGCACCGCCATGTAAGGAACGCCACACTATGATGATTCTATTGGTACCATGAAAGGCCGTGTTTGAAGCTTTGTGCTTGCTATACATGTCACTGTGGTACTATGATTTTTTTTATTCAATATTTTTAATTTTGTTTTGTTTTTTTGTAGAATTTATGGCATATCTCCTTGTGGTTTAAAAAACAAAACAAATTAGAAGTTGATATATCAATTAATAATGTTCTTAATTGATTTATATGAAAATCTAAATATGACAATATCTACCAAACAAAGAAATTTGTTTTTTAGAATTGTCAGGTTAAAAAATAAACGCTGGAATATATACATAGAAATAAACTTGTTATCCCACAAGAATATTACTATTTCTTCTCCATACATACCACGTACCTAGAAGTTCCCAGCATCTGTCATTTGAACACATACACGGAAAATATATTAAATCAACACAAGGGCTATGGAATTATGATTTATTCAATTATAGAAGTAAATCATTCAATCATATGAAAAGATATTTAAATTATATAAATTTAATAATGGTGCCCTAAAAGAACATATTTGAAATAATTTCAGAACTTATTGATATCCGAGATATACATGGAAATATCCTTATCATGCTACATGAATCTCAAGATTTCTTCTCTATAAATACCCACTACGTAGAACTTCTTTATACACCAATTTTTCTCAACAAACACAGCACTACAGGAGGATTAAAAACAAGTAAAAATGGAGAAAGCTTCTTTTAAGTTGGTGTTCGTGATTGTTTTGGTATTTTCCACGGCCTGTAAGTCTCTCTCTCAAATTTACTGGCTACTTCGTCCCCTGCTTAATTCTTAAGGATCACAGTCTTGAAAAATCTAATTAATTAGTTAATGAAGTGATGAACACATATTTCTTTATGCGATTGGTATGATTCACATTAAAAATAAATTTTCTCTTTCATTGTTAACAAATCAACACATATATAAATATGACAAAAAAAAAAACAATAATATTTTGCTGCAGGTTTTCCAGAAGGAGCTGAAGCCCTTGGATACTGTTCAAGCGACTCTGATTGTCCCCCCCGCTGCCCACCAGGCTGCACAGATGCTCATTGTCAGTACGTAGCAGAAGCTGATTTCGAGTGCTATTGCGGCCTAAATCCCTGTCTTGGGTGATAGAATACATGCATCGCTTTGATATTCATATATGTTGAGCTGATCATCAGAATAAATTCCCGATCGATGCAATAACAGGGGTGATCTTGTGTCTCTTTTAATTTATAATAATACAACTAAGTGATAAATTAATTTATGCACATTGCATTTTTACGATGCTGTGTTAAAATGTTAACGTACACGCAGAGGGTCAAGTCTCTCCTCTTCCAAAATTTATTATTAAAACCCCAGACTCTAATTTCCATGTGAAGAACTTCTTTCGAAGGTTAATTAATGAATTTGGAAACGAAGAATATATTATATCTTCAGGATCAAGCGAGGAGGTTGTCATCGAAGAAAAAAGTTAATGCGATACCAAAAGAAATAAAGTATTCTCTATTCGATCCCTTTTCTCAATTTTTGAAATTTTAAAAAATGAAATTTCTTTTTTTTAATCGATCCCTTTTCTCAATTTTTGAAATTTTAAAAAATGAAATTTCATTTTTTTCAAGCCGTTTTGTTGCTTCAAAAAACTCAAAACAATGTTAAATTGAGTATATAGACACGTGTTGAATATCTAGTGAGTTAATATGTTATTGTTAACAATATTTTAGGCATTGAAATTTAATTATAAATTAAAAATGTTCCAAAACTAAGTAATAAAGAGATTCAACTAATCTAAGTTTAATTTAACAATAAATGTACGATGTGACTAACTTAACTTGGCAGAAATATAAGAGATAGTGGGTAACTAATTTACCTCTCCCATCACCGCAGCTTGGATCAAGAAGATTTTTAACGTAAAAAATAATGTCTAGGTTATAGAAATCTTTTTGTTATTCTTATTAGTAATTTTGGTTTTGATTTTTTTTATCACAAGTTTTAAATTAAATTATATAAAATTTATTTTAATATAACTAATTTAGTATATTTTAAAAAATAAAAAAAATAATTCAAACTAATTCAAATCAACCGATCTAAATCACGAACTTTACTAGGTTTAATTATTTTTTATATTATATGATACTATATATAAAAAAAACTCATAATAAATTAAATGTTAAAGAATAAATAAAAAATCAAAATAAATAAATAAAATTTTTTATTTTTTTTTATAAAGAAAAGCTAATAAGAAAAAAATATAGGTGGATAGGCTTAAGTGGCTCAATGCATCCAGGGATTTTAAAAATGTTGAGGCATATGGGCTTGGGGCTTGAGGCAGGCCCCCACGTATGAACAAGTAATTTTTTTTTTTTATCTTTTTAGGTGGTGAATGTAATCCATCTCTTGTTTTTTTTTTTTTTTTTTTTTTTGTGGTTAAAAGTAATAACGACATGTTGTCTGCTAGATTGAATTTTATATTACAATCACTAATATGAAGGCCGGAAGGATTGAAAATTATAAATTATAAATTGTTTTCATTTAAAAATATCTTTACAACATTATAAATGCTTTTGAAATCAACACAAAATCATCAAAAAAATAAAAATTAACTAAAAAAAATCTCTAAACCAAGCTAAATCTTCTTTCTCAAAAATATTTAAAGAAAATAAGGACCATTAGTAAACTTTCCTTGTCATATAAAATTCATTAACATAAAAAATAACTAGTTTTTTTCTTAAAAAATGGCTTAACCAACTATTTTTCTTTTATTTTTTTTAAGACAATTTTTTTTGTCTTTTCTCAAAGTTAAAGTTAGAGATTCAAAAATAAAGTTTTAGATTAAAATAATTGTTTTAAATGTGGTGTGATGCATTTTTTTTTTCGTGTTTTACTTTTTCTATCATTTTTCTTTGAATTTTATATTTTTATGATAATTTAAAATTTAATTTCATTTAATTGGGAAATAAAAGGATTAAATTGAAAGAAAGAAAATGGTAAAAAAGAAGAAGTCAATTCGTTTATTGTTCATATTAACCGTGAAACCCACCCCATGTTTTTTAGCTGTTTGTCATGATTTTAGATATGTGGATCCGCATCCTGTGCTTTATCGAAAAATTAATGCATAGTAGCTTAAAGTCCTTCTGGTCTTCTTGAATTTAATTTATTTTCTCAAATTTTTCTATGCAAACTTGATGTGAGACTTCATGAATCACGACAATTGCTGGGTTTTCTGAAATTTCCAAAAATCCTCAATCAGTCGAGCTTGTTTTAATGAGAGGATAAAACGACAGACCTTCTTCATCATTGTTTCTAATAAAATCTTGTCTATAAGAACGCAAAATTTCAAGTTACGAGGGCACTGAAGGGAACAGGGGATTCAAACATCAAAACTGTCTCAAAATTGGAATGGAGAATAAGGAGGTAAAGTACTTAAAAGGGAAATCTTGTTTCCATTGTTGTTGGAGAAGTAACCCAAAATCTCATGTGTTCAAATTCTCAATGATTTGGGATAGGGATGAGCGGGTTCCGAAGACTGATGATACAACTCCCACTGCAATGATTATGATACAAACTGCAATCTACAGAAACAACAGTAAAAAAGGGAACGAAAGCACTGTCAAGCCTATCAATTATGCTTCAGAAAGTGCTGACAATAGTTAATACCAGAAAGGGAAGTAGAAGGAAGATGTTAAAAGCTGTTCTAAATTTGTGAATGGAGGCATTGGTAGCAGTGGCATACCTGAAATCTTGTTGCTTTAGCCCTCAAGATGCTCAGAAAGCAAGCACAAGGAAGTATCAAGGTCTGTTATAGATTCACTTGTTAGTTTAATTCAACAAAACCGCGTTTTCAAACTTTTGAAGAGTATAGGAGAGGTCAAATGGCATAACAAGACTCAGATGAGGAAGCTAAATTAATGGCTGTAGAAAACTTACCACAAGCATTGTGAGTAAAGATCCAATCAGTGACATGACCAAACCTGCAATGAAAGGAAATGTCGATGATATAAAGCTGAAACCAAACAAGGCATGGAATATAGAACTGCAAGTTTAATGAAAATCAACTGGTTTTGCAAGAGACATGGTGTAAAATAATACATAAGGTGACAATTAAGGGAGACTAACCGAAAAAAGGGATGGAGAGAGCGACCAATAAGGTAGAGATCACCAGTGCTGTCCTAATGCAAATCGCATACATGTGAGACTTCATGTGGTTTGATGGTATCAACTCCTCCAGACTCATTGCCACTGGAGACATGGTTAATGCATATTTGGTAAAGGGGTTAACTACCTGCAAGAGAACAGACAATAAATTAATAACCTGTAAGAAAAAAATTGAATCCTAATCCTTATAGGAAAAGAAAGGAAGAGAACAAACAGAACAGGTTAAAATATATTTTCCAAAGAACTGTAAGAACTGATGAGCATACCGTAGTCCACACAGCAACCTTCGAGGCAACTAGATCTTGAGGCAAGTTAAGAGTGAATTGAGATTCTGTTTTTTCTCCGAACATCGTGTACCCCATGTAAGCAACTCCAGCATACAGCAAAGTACAAATACCGAAGCTGCATGGATAACAGAACCAAGGGAACATGAAGTAAGGAATACTTGAAATCACAGGCAGCTGTTTTGAAAATAATAAGCAGGGTCCTTGAGTAAAACTAGAACAAGTGTTTCCTACGATGAAGTAAGGAGGTAGAGCAACTTAAGTTACCATGCTAAGAGAACTGCAGGAAATCTGCTAGGCTGTGCCATGGAAGTGTAGATGTTCGGAAAAACAGCATGTCCTGAGTAACAATAACCGTAGAGACCAATGGCAACAGGAAGAGTTCCAAGATTGAGTACCGTCCCTTCGCTGTGAATGCCCACATTATCAACCAAACCAATCCAAAACAAGCACAGGACCACCAAAACTGATGCAATAACTCCACCAGCTGGAAGAAAGGGGCTGAAATTTAGAATTTCTCAAAACAAGATTGCTGCTTAATCTGATGAGCAGATTGTGAGCGTTGCAGCCTTTTACATACCATGAATTTTTTTTTCTTTTCAACTTATTCCATTTTTAAGAAAATTGTTTCATGGATAGATGATATGGGTTAATCAAGAAGAAAAATGTGAATCAAATCATTTTGACGTCCATTGAAAAATGTTTAAAATTCAAAATAACTTAATTTCAGAACACCTACCGGAAATGTAACTGAGGACACTGAGGTCTCTAAGCCAAACAGTAGGAAGAACGGCGAGGGTAGTCATCAATGCAAAAAAATGGGGGGAATCCAACTCAAATCCACCCAAACTTATATTTGCATTTGGAAACAACGAGGATAAATTATCACTCTCCAAAATTATATATTCAACGCAACAAGCCTGCGGCATATCAAAAAATTTGGACAGGTAACATTAGTCCATCAAATTATAAGGCTTCTGCATGTTTCACTGTGAATGACATTCACAGGAATGAAACAAAAGAGAAATGCATGAAGATGCTAAGGACATTAATCCACTTTAGCCTACATCAATGAACCAAAATTTATCACCTAGGCCAATGGTGACAGAATTGCATATTTATAGCAGCAAAAAAGTTGTTGCCTTGGGTTATTATTTGTAGTTCATAAGTTCCATGGTTGTTTATGATAAATTAAACAGACGATCTATTCACCACTGAGTGACTAATAGCCAAATAAAGACGATTTTGACAGAGATATCATTATGGGATCCGTATGATTGGATCTTGGTTGTTGTCGAGGCTGAATCTGTGTTCACATTATAATTTATCCCATTCAAGAAAGCCAAAACTTTTTCAATTTTATAGGCTATCAATTTTCCGTAAATCGGATGCAACATTCGATGCAGCCGCCTACGGTGCAGGCAAGTGGTAGGGAAAATAATGCTGTCAAATAAGATCCAAAACTTGGGACAAAAGAATTTAATTGGCCCCAGCAGTAATATAGGTTCCCATCTTATTCTCTCCTAGAGGCAATGCTGAATTGATTAAAACACAGAGAGTAAATAATCCAGGAAAAGCCAGCTGTACTTACATACAATTCCACATACAATATTATCTGCAACAAGAAAAAACCAAGGCAAAAACGACAGAATCAGTCTATAGTCAAATTTGTAAACCAGTGCTTGATATAAGTTCAAAAGGAGAAGTTTTGCATATCAATCCACCATTTTAACTGCAATTTCTGCAGGAAATGGAAGTTAAGAACTAGACTTACTGAGATGACAACGCGGCCAGCGGTGCCGAAGGCAGCTTGGCCAATGTCTGGGTAAGTTCCAAGTCCTGGTTCACTATCCAAACAGTAACGCAAGAGCATCCCAGTGTAGAAAGAAAGAACTGCAAATATGAGCAATATGGATAGCCCTAGCCATCCTCCTTCTTTAGCAGCATAAGGAGTAGATAAAATACCTACTCCGCACAGAACATTCAAGCCTGCATTATGAACCACAACAAGTACACAGTAACCACTAAATTAAACAATCCTTTTCAATTCAGCATGCAGGTATTCAACTTGACGCCAAGGCTTGCAGATTCACAGTCAATTGTGAGTAAATAATTTACATTAACATACAGCAAGAGGCCAAAAGGCTCAAGAACAACGAGACAGATACATGTGCAGCATGTGCAAACTACGCCACGAAAACATGAAACAGAAACATGGTTGTTTTGATGCTCGTAAAGGGAGATAATAATGAGAAGCGAACAAAGGGTCCACGCCTACAAATCCTATATTAAAGGTCATAAACAACAAATCATTCCATCATATTTCAAAGGTAGTTTTGGTTGTTTGAAGATATTTATTGCTACAGGCAATATTCTATTCCTAAATATAGTCTCAGACACGCTAGCCATATTAGCTGACCCATGGAGACACTAAAAAACAAGATGTCACCAAGCTAAACCTAGGGCCATGTAAGCAAGTGATGACAACAAAGTGATAAAACATAATCTGTGACATCAATGGTTGATGAGGTCCCGACAATTGTAGGGTCTGGTTAGTGTCAAGTTTGATGGCCATACTAATCCTAATATGGCAAGTGGCTCCATGGGGACAGGTAGGATGATTGCTAACAAATAACAAGGATGGTTTAGACATTCGTGGCCAAATCGAAGCCGTCGATTGTGTGAGGGCCATGCCACAATGGATGGTCTGGATTTGCCCAAGAGCGCGCCGGCCGTTGTCCATTGTGTTAGTTTCGACTTACCATTAAGCACAGCTTGTCCAAATGAGCTTTGACGAGACATGGGAAGCTCGTGCGAAACCCGGGATAGTTTCTCATCCTTTCTAATGGATGATGACCTTCTTAATAGAGTTGGAGGCAGTAGAGAACGAGAACTACGCCTTTGTGGTGGAAGTTGCTCGTCCTCTGGTTTGTCTAGTAGAGGCTTTACAACAGTAGGTAACGATTCTGGTGTGTGTCTTCTTGTAAGTGAAGAGGAAAGATACGAGCTGCTTAATCTTGATAGTGTAGGAGTCCCCAAAAAAGTAAGATTTGGAGATGGTACACTACTGTATAAATCGATGGATTGCCTGAAACATCAGTTAACTGCCATAGGTAAGTATCTGGAACTAGAAATAGCAGCAAATGCATATTAATGAAATACCTTAGGACTAATGGATTTGCTAGTTATAGACTTACAGTTCACAGATTGATCTCATTAACATCAGATCACTGCTAAATAGACAAGAAAAGGTACTGTAGAGGATAAGATATTTATTTAGGTGATGAGGAAAATCATTCACTGAACCACTAAATTACAATAAAACAGATTTTTTTTTTCCAAGCCTTTTGGTTCCTAATCATTATGAAATCAGTGAGACAATGGCCCTAAAATGATCACTTTCCCTTTATGAATTAAAGTTATCCCCTGATCTGATTTCCCTGAAACATGTTTTCTTTGATGAATTGAAGCATCAAGTCCAAGACTGAACATGACATGAAATTAGCAGAGTAAAACAGAGCAGAGTGAATGAGAGAAACCTGTAACTTTGAGGCCAAGAGGTGTTGTAAGAACCGGTTTTACTCTGCTGCCGATTATCATCGGCCAAAGATTCATCAGAATCTGTTCCATTAACATCTGCTTCACCTTCTCCATCTCTGTTAAATTCCTTCTCCTCATCTTCTTCTTCGCTTTCTATGTAAAAATTCTGTTCTGATACTGAATTCTTCATTTTTGCCCCCTCCTATTTCTCTCCCCTTCAAAAATCCCAGCTAAAACTCACACAACAAGACAAATAATTATTGGCTATGAAAAAATTTAAATGCTAAAAAAATAAAGTTAAAAAGAGAGATGCTGCGAACCTCAAATTGAAATTGATCACTTCTTATCCTATAGGATTTGGAAGCTTTAGTTTTCTAGCATCTGCACTTCGCAGCTTGTTCTGACTAGTTCCTTATTTTTTTTACTGAACAACCTTAAAGGGGATAAAAATTGTTATGGTTAATGAAATCTTGGAAACATAAATCAGAAATAAACGCATGAAAAGCAAACGCAGAATGACCATCCGAAAGAAAATCTATATTTGGGAATGCAAGCAAGTTTGGAAATTAATATAATTTTAAAGGCAATATGCGTTTTTCAAAAGGAACTCCACTACGCCTTTTAGTCATCTTTCGTTGTCAAGGAAACACAGAAAACGAAAGGCAAAAGTAATGGAGTTTCCTATCTATGTAAGAGGTTCTATTTTCCTGTCCAGGCAACAAGACGTTTAACATACTTTACAGTGAAAAAAAGAGAACGAACACAAAGAACGACTCGCAGACTGCGAAGAAAAAGACCTTATCAAGATTCCTCGACATTCTAAGGAACCAAAGAAGGAGGGTTTTTAGAGTAACAAGCCTTACGCACGTAGAGAACGAAAGTTTTTGCTGCTTCTTTATTTTTTCTCCTCGTTGTTTCGAGATCCCGCAAAGAGCTTATAAGGGGAGAAAAAGATGAGTCGTTAATACAGTTAAAGAATCGAGAGAAAGAGAGAGTTTTCTCGAATCTAGGATCCGAATAAACTCGTGAAAGACTAGAGAAAGGCCTGGTTTTTTGAGACTCGAGAGTAACAGCAACGGAAAACACACCCCGAACCGATGTTTTCTTCTGTTTGTCTTCTGGTACTGTAATGGTTTTCACCCTGTATCGCTTGCTTGCAGAATTATAATTGTTGTCACTGCTTCGCTCGGGTTATAAATATAGTTGACAGATCTGGTCTCGGGACTTGCCTGAAAAAAGAGGGGCCAGGGAACTATAAGTTATTGGATTAATTTATGGTTTATTGTGTCAATGTAAGTTAATTATTTTTGTTAAAATAATATTGTTTTTTTTAATAAAAAAAGCCCTTGATATTATCTAAATCATTTTAAAATATATTAATTATGTAAAAAACTTGATCACTATCTATTAATCAGTATGTACAAAAGCCAACCCCAGACTCTCAAGATCACCCAATGGTTAAGACCAAAACTTAAAGAGTCAAGTTCCTATCTTTGATTATCCAAACATGAAAACTCTTCTGTAAAACCTTGTTTTTAAAACCAAAAAATTAGCAGGTTTCTTTTAATATGAAGAACGAAGAAGATGGTTGATAACATAATCTGTAACTCTGTAATTGTTTTACCGTTTGGTGGTGTATAGGGGCATGATGGTGATTGGTTTTAAAGTAATTTTCATTAGAAAATATAATAAAATAATTTTTTTTATTTTTTAAAAAATATTTTTCATATTTTCACATCAAAACAAACAATATTAAAGTGTTAAAAACTTAATTTAAAGTAAAAAAAATTAATTTTTTTTAAAAACATTTTTAAAATATTAAAATAAACAGAAGATTTGTTGTTTTTGATGTCAATGCACTGCTGTTTGTCACTTTGCCAGGAAGGCAGCCCTACGTGGCAACAGAACTGTCGCGTAGCTTCCATAAATAAATAAAACTAGCAGCCCCTATATACCCTTTATTAATTTTCGGAATTATCATTATGTCTAGCATATTGTTAGAATTTATCCGAGTTATAAAACCCAGACAGTCTATCTAAGGCTTTAGTTGATTTGTATTAAAAAAAATAGTAGAAGTTTTGATATTAAAACCATGTTTAATTTAAAAAAAAAATTAAAAAATATTATTTTAATAAATAAAAATAAATTAAATAAATCCAGGCTAGCCCTGGAGATTCATTTTTCACACTTTATTCTAGATGTTTTAAAACCATTGAAAAAATTAATTTTTTTTATTTTGAATTAGTATGTTTTTAATATTTTTAAATTATTTTGATGTATTAATTTTAAAAATAATTTTTTAAAAATAAAAAAATATTATTAATATATTTTTTTAAATAAAAAATACTAAAAAACAATTATAGTCGCCCTTTCAAACTGTAAAAAGCGCTGGGGATTATTGCTCCTCCTGGTGATGCAGCCTCTCCCACATTGAACATTTTATTCATTACAAAACTTTTTTTTTTTAATTTCATTTTTAAATGGTCAAATTGAATGACAGGGTTAATTTATTGAGAAAAGGTTAGATTAATAGCCAGGGGACCAAGGAGAAGAACATGGCATTTTAATCCTTATACTTTTCCAATTATGAATTTGTGGTCCCTTCAATTTTCAAAAAAATAAAAACAAAGTCAATTCTGGTCATAAACTTTATTTTCTTTATTTTCGGTCCCTAGTTGAATCTAGAATACGAGAATATTTCACCAAAGTAATAAAGCTGGGAGATTTCCAACTTTAAAAGCTTCTGAATTTGGAGTTTCCATCAATTATCTCTGTAATTTCTTACAAACACCCTCTCCAGGTTTCGATTTAGCTTTCAGTTTAAGATCTTCCCCAGATCTTGATTGGAGCATTTAACATTTTGAAAGAGTAAACGAGAAAAATCCATAAACCTCAGCAGAATTATGCAAAAATCAATTGATTATTGATCTAAAATTCTCATCAAATCATACTATGACACGGGCTCAAATCAAGAAAGGATATGATTGCAATCTTGTAGAATATTTAACAAAGTTGTATCTTAAAAGGGAAACTGATAGAATTCTCGGATCTTAAAGGAGTGTTTTGTAGTTTAGTTTTACATTGCTTTTTTACTTTATATAAATTTTTTTCATGAAAAATATTCTCGGATTAATTTATAGTTTAATATTCAAAATTAATTTTCTAAAAAATATTATAATTGATGCCAGGAGTGCTGATTTAATTGACAAAATCACTTGACATCTTACCAAGTAACTTGAAACCGAATTCAAATCTTGTTCACTCTAGGGATAGAAAATTAAGAAATATCATCCATTTAGCTCAATTGAAAAATTATAGAAAAGGTTTTTCTTATTTTCCAATTATTTTCCAATTAAGCAAGATATGGCTCACGCAGCTTTCTATTACAGCATTAAATTTATACTTGATAGTGTAATTTATACTTAATAATGTTAATAGTGTGGTTATAGTTATTTTTTAAATAATTTTTTGTAGTAAAAAGTATCAATAATTTTTTTATTTTTTAAAAATTATCTTTGATATCAAAATAATTTAAAAATATTAGTGTAATTTATACTTAATAATGTTAATAGTGTGGTTATAGTTATTTTTTAAATAATTTTTCATAGTAAAATATATGTGAATGGTTTTTTTTTTGTTTTTTAAAAATTATTTTTAATATTAGAATATTAAAATGATTTAAAAGCACTAAAAACATATTAATTTAAAATAAATAAAAAATGATTTTTTATAATTTTTTTAAAAATATTTTTAAAACACTGTTAAAATACTAGGGGACAGTCATGCAGCCGCCACGTGACAATTCCAGCAAAATAAATTGCGCGGAGCAGAACAATAGCAATGCTGTAAGACGTCATGGGCTATTAATTTATAGAAAATGTTGTTCAAGATTGACTAAAATTCGTGTATGTTTCTGAATTAACAATACCCATATGATCATATGAAAACAGTTACATCAATATAAAATAAGAATCCCATTGTACACGTGTGATAAAATGTCTTAATTCTGATCTATATTTACGTAATTTATTTTATTTTATACTATAAAGAGAGCTGTATATATTAATAAGTTGAATGATGAGGATCCATTTAGGTTTGAATTCCAACCTCATCGTTCATGCATGGCAAAGGATTTTTTAAATCTATAATATTATTATTAAATCTGACTTGATTTATTAAGTAATAAAAAAAATCATGATTATGAATCAAATTTTAATTTGTATTAAAAAATATTAATTTAATTAAATTCAATTGATTTAATCAGATCAATTAAACATTATTTTATAGGTAAAAATAATTTTGTTGTTAAAATAAAATAACATTGCCTAATAAAACATAACTATCCTGAATTAATCTAATAATATATATATTGAATTTGATTTGATTTTTTTTTCAAGATAAATATTGTAACTAGATTTAGTGCTAGTTTAATATTGCAGTGATGATTGTTATTTAAAAGTTTTCTTATATAAAAATATATTAAAATAATATATATTTTTATTTTTAAATAATTTATTTTTAACCCAACAAATCAAAACTGCATAGAAATATATTAAAAAAATATAAATTAAAAAAAAAATTAACAACTAAAATAATCAGCGGTCAATTCCGAGGAACAGAAAACCCAGACAATCCCTTTTCAATTAATGACCTTCTTGTCTTTGGTACAAACAGTTTTCATCAAGTTTATGTTGAGAGGAAGAGGTTCTCCCGAATTCAATAAACATCTGAGGACCTTCATTTATTTAACCTTTCAATTTCTCCAGGAGGAGTACAAGTACAGGCTACAAAAACGAGCAACCAATCAATTTACCGACAGAGGACAAAGACCGATTACATCAAACGGCTTCATTATGCAGCATCACAGATTGATTTTATGCACATGCTTTGCCTTTTACTTGCAGGGGATTCTCAGCATTGTGGATAAGATGCCTGTCCATGTGATTTCATATCGGATAGATCAATAATTTCTTCGTTGCTCATAGTGCTTGATTACTTCAATTATATAGACGAAATGAAGTTGACTGAACTAATTAGCAAGGGGCCCATGATGGGATGATTCGTCTGTCTTTGATAATGCATTTCAATTTCTTTTGTGATTTAAAGCGTGGTAAAACTCATCTTGAATCGAGGGTTCAATTCGAAGAAAAAACTCAAAAAGATTTGTTGAAGTTTAGTTAAAAAATAAATTTAAACGAGCCCAAGCTGTTATCTTAAGAAAAAAAGCGTTCAACATACCAGCTCAGAGAGCATGGATCCATGTAGACGGAGAACAGGAATGGATATGCCCTATATTCTATCGAGCGACTACTTTCTTGGGAATATATGATCATGATTCATAAGCATAACACTTTGGCATTTGGAATCAAATCGGCATCAAGGTGATGTCCATATGTCACCTTTCCCATTTGAATACTACAAGTTTGGCTGGCAATCAGCAATAATCAATAACGTGCCCTTCAAATTGCCTTTCCTCACACTTCTTTTTCTGCATGAGTCAGAAGCATCATCATTTGATTTGATGAAAACCAGTATGATATTATTGATGTTGTCACATTATCTACCAGGAGACTCACAGCATTCAAGCTTATATAAAAATCTCGTGCTTATCTCCACGACACATTGCGTGATGTTAACATTTATAGCCTCACCTAGCTAGCTCAGACAACACACGATGTTCGGTCCACATACATGGTGGCTATATCAGAAAGATCCAGTGAAGGGGATCGTGCTGTTCGGTTACATCTCGCTGGTGTTTTTTGTTTTTTTCATCTTTGTGGGATGGGTTTATGCTTGTTGTTGCTTGAGCCTTGAGCTGGTGGTTTATCCACCTTATCATTTTTTATTTGCAATTATTGTTGGAGGGTTGAGTCTGTTTCAGCTATTGCTTTGACCATGATCGAAACATGATAAAAAAACATACATGCATATATATAAATTTATCTCGAGATCTGACGAGATCCTTGATTAGATTAGAGGCTACATCATTTTAATTTCACTTTGCTTAAGGTAGGCTACAGACTTCATGTCTTTTGAAGTCTTCTGAAATAATTGCGAGTTGGTTGATGAAGACACAGAGTCAAGAACGGGAGTGGATGTAAGAAACACGTTTTATGAGGAATCAAAGCATCAACTTATGCCTTCATTTACAAGGTG